TGCCCAGCGGTTTGAGCTAATCTATACTGACATAACATGAGTAAAGTCAATAGTAGGTCTTCCCTATAGTACACTACAGGGCGACCAGGAAGAGAAAGATAATGGATAGAGGACATGATAAAACTGCATCACACTGCAGCATGACCAAACCATTTATGCATGTCAGGGTTTTTCCTTGCTCAACATAGGTCTTTGAGTCAGGACTTTTACACAACCATGATGGGTCTGGACTTCTGGTCCAGATTACCTTATTTAAAAGAAGTTTTATAAACTCAAAATACAAAAAATAAAAATTACAACCATGGCGATTTTCCTTTGGAGGGAAAACAAAGTTTCCTTTCCTGCGCCATAACACCTGCAGAGATTAAAAGTCACTCGGCACATAATTCCAAAATCTGGGTGATGGAAGAGCGAGACCAACTTTGCCTATACCCCATATTCAGCAAAAGCTTAATCGGTTGAATTCAACAAAGCTGAAATATCCGCTCACAGTAACAATAATATTCTTGATTGATTAAAATGAAGTAAGTCTCTTTGCTTTTCCCTTGTAGCGCCCATCTACTGGCACAAAAATGACAATAAAAGCACAGGATGAACTGCAAGACTCTTTAGGTCACTTCTTTAAATTTAGACTTAAAGTCTAACAATTAATACACTACAGCTATAAATCAGAATCAGAATACTTTATTAATCCCTAAGGAAATTATGTGTGATTTGTAGTTTGTGTTAGTCTTGGGATAGGTAGACCCCATCCCACGTTATCTAACTCAAACACAGCAATTCACTCTGGAAGAAATACTATTTAATTCAACATGTCTTTGGACCTTCAGAGGAAAACACTTAACATCGAACACAGTAAAGTCCCAGCAGACTCCAGAACTGAAACCTGGGACTTTCGCCCAGTAAGGTGCTAATAGGTGCTAACCACTGCATCACCGTGCCATCAGAGGAGATTGAACTATTTTTAAGGCGACTCAAGGGAAGCACTGAAGGAAACTGAACAAAAACTAAAGTCACCAGTCCATGTGCAGGTGGCCAGCATACTGTTACACTTGTGCTCGCTTTAAACTCCGTGCTGGTGTTTTAAAACCAACTTTGTTCAACAAAAGCCATTTTATTCAATCTCCACTTTATTGTGACAAAGGCAGAGACAGCTGTCAGCTGCTGTAGATCTTGTATTTTGCCAGGCTCTATTCAAACTGTCTTTTCTTCTGTCAAAAGGGGCCTGCTGGTTTTGTTTGTCCTCTGATCCTCTGGAGAAGCAACACAGAAAAAAAAAAAAAAAAAAAAAAAAAATCTTATAAAGATTTCTTCTCCAGGACAGTTTTCAAGTGAGGCACTGCAGCGAGGCCTTCTGGGGAGTTGAAGCCCATTGTTAAGACAGCTATAAAGGGAGCTTTTCCAAAGAGGGATTGGGCTTGATGAAATGTGATGTATGCCTTACTGACAAATGATGAATAATCTGGTGCATATCTTTAAAAAAAAAAAAAAAAAGCCCCTCTATCATCTTGTCTGAAACAAAACTTCTGTTTCAGACTATATCTATGCAGCACAGATTCCCATTTCCAGCAGCTGCAATTTCATGAGCAAATATATCAAGCTTTTTTTCCATGTTACATTTTTAGAAAATGGCTTGTTGTGTCACCAGCACTTAGATCATTTACAGCTTAATCAGCTTTACTATTTTTCCCCCTCTCAAAGTCAGCAACAGGCCCTTTGGGTCTGTGTGAACAAGTCGTGCGTATAGAATCGGCAGAAAAGCACATTGCTCAGTGGGAATTGATTGCGCTAGAGACTGAGGGCAGAAGGCATTATGTGGTTACAGATGCAAACTGCTGTGGTTCATGAATACCAGACAGAATAGGGCCTGAGGACATACTGTACTGTTAAAAATCAAACAAAGCAAATGGGAGACCAAGTTTTTTTAAAAATAGAAGAACAAAAAATGATATGGTGTGAAGAGGCTTTACTAAAATATCATGTAAGCATAAAGTAATATATGGTACACTACACAGCCCAAACCTAGGTTTTAAAACATCCCTGTCTTGTGGTTAATAAAGCCTGGAAAATACAATACAAAAATTGAACTGATCTCTAAATGGGCGTATACAATATTATAGTTCTAAATGGTCCAAAATTTAAGCTGAGGAGAACTGGTGGAGGAGATGGGTTTACCCTTAAGCTGCTGTATGCTATTCCTGGTGAGAAAATGGGCCGTACTGGCCTACATACCTGTATCCTGCAAGCATTTAATGGACTCCATCTGATGAAGCTGAAAGGCCAAACTGCTCCGAAATCAGTTTCCATAACAATCAATTTTACCTGATTGTTTTACTTTCAAGTTTTCTTTACTAATGAGCTTCGAATGAAGTAGAGTCATCGTTCACATTATAAGTGAATGAAATAATCGTGCATGTCTTTGCAGTGCAAGTACCGAGACGGATCCAATGGGCCAAATTTAATGAGCCAAAAAGTTTGACCGACTTCCTAGTGAAATGCACCAGGATGACAGAACATTCAAAATGTTAAACACACAGTGGATGGCAAGAGAACCACAGCTTAACGTTCAGGAATTGGCCACAACAGTAAAACCACCTTCCCTATAATGTGTAAATCTCTGACCCATCATGGCATGGAAACAGGACCTCAGGGGGTGTCCTGCAGTGCCTGGCACTGCGACATTGGTGAGAGAGCCGTGTGCTGGCTCCAAAAGCAGAGTACAACTTTTAATGGGTAATTGCAACGCAGATGGGTAAAGAAAACTTTCCTTATTAGAGTTTCAATAATAAAGCAAATAACAAAGCACCAAACACTGCATAAGGCTCACTTGATACAAAGAAGCACAAATACAAGGACTGCGATCCTGACCAAATATGAGCTCAATCTAACTGGAAAGCTGCATCTGGCTCACTACCCCCTCAGAACACATTCATTCATTGTTGATGAGCAGCATTTTAAACTTGTATCAGCTTTGGAAAGACAAATAATCAACACGAGTACTCTCTTGCCTAAGCACCACTGCTGTGAAAAACAACTGTGCCTTAGGACTGAAAGTGTAAAAATATGCCGGGACAGTGTGCATCAGTGCTTCTAGCAAGGATTCACTCTGACACTCTGTTACAATACAGACTGTTTACCATTTAATCAACGGTAAACATCAGTTTTCTTCACTATAATCAAATCCCAAATCCATCAGTCACACCTTCCTCTCGGAGACAGGCTGTTGAAAATAAGCCAAACGTATCGCTGAGCTTTTCATCTGGCCGGCCTTGGACCGCTCGCTGAGTGCATTATGGACTGAATGGATTTGGTTAATGCCAGAGCAGAACAGCTATCCTCTGCAATTACATTAACTAACAGCCCCTGCAGTCAACACAAAGAGCAGTTTGTCAGGATGGGAAAAAAATCCCTCGAAATAAAATGAAATGCTGTCAGTCAGTCATCACGGCAGACTGATCCACTGTCCACAGAGGTCGGAAGCTTTTTAACTCTTGTTCATTGTTTTTCTTGCGATTGTTGCTTAACAAGTGAAACTGAGCAAATGTTATTTTCTGGCAAAGAGTGAGTATTGTTAGAATCATCAACCGCTTGGAGAAGGGGAAATTTAAAATATTTAAAATATTATTATAGTTTAAAATTGCAATATATAACTTCTACAAATATTTATAGATCAGAAGACTTGTGTATAAGAATTTGCTAGAAATCCCAAATTACTCACATCTCTTAGATTTTTTCTGTGTAAAGTATCAGCAACAAAAACACTTTGTATCCAAATTGTATTTTGAGATGTTGAAACTGGCTAATAGTAATAGTCATTGATGATGGGATGAGACTTAACCATTGAGAAATTTTATTTGTAACATTTAAAAAAAAGAATTACACTATAATATTTTGCATGATGTATACACATTTCTCCATATAGCTATAATAAGTACAGAACAGAAACCCCACCACACTGTCCTAAATGTAAAAATCGTGTAGTCACCAAATTTCATTATTTGCAGGAATGGGTGAAAATTCAAATGCTTGGAAAGGTTTCTGCCTCCCTTCAAGAAAATGCGGCCGTTATTCAATCTGTTTTAATGTTATCAAAGAAAAGACTAATGGTCAAATGGGTCAGCGTGATGGAAAAACATACCATCATGTACCATTTCATTCTGGATGTCACAGCCTCTTTTGCCTTACATACAGTCTAGTAGCATCACTGTAACATTATTTGGTTTTTTTTGTATTTTGTTTGTTCATCTACCTTAAAAACAACTCACTGTTCGCCAGTATAGTAATTCTTGGAGATTTAAAACAGCTGCAGGTGTTGTGGTGTATTCTAAGCAGGAATCCATGGCTACAGAGCCAAACAGCTGGAGCTGCAGCAAATCTTTTATTATAAAATACCACATTTTTCATTTTATGTGCTCAAATTCAATTCCAGTGTGGATTCAATGCCCCAGTTTGGATGTGTGAAGGGTGCTACAGCAAAGGATTATGGCAGAGTGGGATAATGTCTTCTAAACGCTTGAACTCAACATTTTCTGACATGGCATTCTGCGAGATACGTGAAATAGCGATCTAGGCACATTTAGGCTGCTTACGGAACAGTAAATCCAGAAAAAGAGAACACAATTAGGATTTTTTCCACATAAAATCACCTTAACTTAATTTAAAAGATGTACACTGAGGATCAGAAGGCATTGTAAGTCTTACTACTGTTTCACCAAGTACCCAATCAGTCAATTCAATTAGATTCATTCCAGTTAAGTTTAACACTAATATGGAAATGTTTTGAGTAAACTAACACTACAATGAACCTCAGTGAACCTTTGCCAGAGACTCCAACACATCCTCAAAGAAGAATCACTTGACGTCAGCACTATCAAAGAAATTTGTCACACTCTTCATCACATTCGCAGTAAAGTAAGCATATTAAATCCAATGAGACAGCTCTTAAAGACCCAGCATTTCTTATCAACTTAACTGCAAGAGATGAAGTCAAAATATCCTACCTTGTGGGTGTAAGGTGCTTGTCCCAGGTTAATGCCATCTTTTGCAAGTTTATCCCGTATGAGTACTTTGAGCTTCAGTTTGGGATAAGTCACAAAGTCATTACAGTCTGTGAACCTCGGGTTATGGTTCCCAGGACAGGAGGCCTGGTGCACTCCTGCAGTCTGTGCGTGACACCTCGGCGTCTCCAAGTCACCCAGTCTGTCTGAGTATGAGATGTGGTGGCAGGCAGAAGCATCCAGAGGCTCTAAGGTGAAATAGTACCCAGGTGCTTTCCTTTTGTCCTCCTCTTTTAACGCTTGCACTGCTGTGAGCAGCCTGTGTCTGTGATACTGAATGCGGACCCCGATAGCATCCAGGTCTGGTTCTCCAATCTGCTTACAAACTTCCAAGTCATCATACCCATTGTCAAAGAATGACTCCACATAGTGGGTCAGGTGTAGCTTAGACAGCCACTGGAGGACGAGATTTGGCCCCTGGCTCATCTTAAGACTGGAAATAGAGAAAAAATTTAAGTGCACATCATCATCTCCATTCACACTGGTGCTGTTGCGCTGGGCCTGTGCGGTGGCAATCCAGCACTGTGGGCCGTAAAACTTTACACAGTCTTCAGTTCACTTCTCCAAAGCAAACACAGGTATTGCTTGTGGATAGAGCATTAGACAGCAAAGCAGACGCATATCAGGAGACAGCAGGGTACCGTCAGCTGCCCTTTGACCTCACCCACCCACGCTGAGACACCTGCACTTCCCAAGTTTTCCGGTTCAGACTCTGTTGCTGTCACGTCGCTAAAAGTTTGGGAAAGGGCCAAGGGTTTCACATAACAATTTCCCCTTTGGATGCAGTCAGCGAGACTTCTAAATGCAAGGCTGTTTAGCTAGTCTGAGCAGTCAAGGGAAGCGTAAAGTTAACGTTAGCGGGGGGAAAACTCTCTAAGTGAGTCCGCTGTGTTTCTATTAGATTTTAAAATTAAAGTACAACGATCGACGTCAAATAGTTGGTGTTGGTCAGTGTGCGTCCATCGTCTTTGTTTCATTCATCGCGGCGGCAACTGAGCAACACGCGGAGGTCCATCAAAAACATTCATCCGAAGCACAGACTTAAAAGGATCTCGTTTCAAACACAGCAATATATAAAACCTGAAATACAAATGCTACAAAATAAATCACAGAAATCGTCTATGGCTATTCAGAGAACACGTGTTGCGGCTTACTTTGTCCCCGGCTTTTACCGTTTTCAAGTTTGCCGTCCCTCCGCTCCATCCGCCGGTTCGTCAGACAGTGAGGATGCTGCTGCTCCTGATCTTTACTCACCGCTGTAGTTTCTATCCCGCTGGACGACGGGAGTTCTTAGAGCGGCGGCGCCACCTGCAGGGGCTGCTGGGAAATGTAGGAACGGTCGCTGAAAATAAAATAAAATAAAATAAAATAAAATCCACACACAAAAACATTACAATAAAAAAATACTACCAAAAGTGTTTATTTCCATCCTTTAATTTAATCATTTTAATTTTGAATTTAACTTTTAATAAGTAAAATAAAAACATACTAAAGTCAACAACAAATTTTCAAAAAATCACTAAAACTTACACATATTAAAAGTGTTTGAAACAGACTGCGTGCGAGAAAAAAAAAAAATCAGTGGAGAAACCCACTAGATAACACCCCCCAAAAAAACCAAAAACAAAATCGGCTTAATCTATATCATGGACAGTGCCCGGATGCTATGTTGGTCTGACCCTTGACCAAAACATTACACAAAGCAGCTGCTGTATCTGTATGGATGCTTGTTTGTGTCATTCAAAAAACAAAAACAAAGAAAAACTTTTTGATAGGGAAAAATTCTTTTCTTTGTTTTTTTGTTGTTTAGCATTAGCAGGAAGTCTTCAAACTAAGTGGATCACTGGCACTCATAATAGTATACTTTTATAGGCATTTAGTATACCAATATGATTAAAACACCACGAGTACCTATAAATATCTATTACATAAATTATTTATACAAATTCTCTACCCTGCTATGTATAAACTTTCCAAAACAAAAAAATGTTGATTAATACTAAATGAGAGTAAGTAAACAAAGACTTTCCAGAGGTCTTTCACAGTGGAAGAGCAAGTGCAAAAATGTGAAAAATTAGACTCTTCTCTGAAAGTTGAAAGTGCAGAAGGAAATTAGCCTGAATGTCTAAATCTGGCAGATTTATCTCACACGCTTAAACATGCGTATTCTAAAGCTGTCCATTAAAACGATCAGGTCAGTGTCAGAGCTGCCCCAAAAGTCTTTGAGCAAGACATAATGATCCAGAACAGCCACTGAACTCTGACCTGCGGAGGCCAAAAGATTCAGGTATTAAAAAATATATATATATAAAAATAAAATAAAATGGAAAACACATAACTCATTACGGTTGGTTTTACATTTATTTTCCATTGCACAATAATATCTATATATACTGTATCTACAGTCTAAATTGTGGCAGCAGATAAAGTCAGACATCCATGTGAAATTTATTTTAATAAAACTGTACAAAAATTGCCTACTATGAGAAAATACTGCAACTCCACAGATATTCATCCCAGAAGACAGACGGATGGAAGTATGGCGAGTGAGAAAACCTCGAGCTCTCCTGCACGGTGCTGTGAGCCTAGCTTCCAACTTCAATGCATTTTTACAGCGCAGGGAGAGCAAGAGTTTTCATGAAGCAAACAGCAACATTAACAGATGTACCAATAAAAAATAAATATAATCTCTCGCATGTGTACAATTGGCATGATCAAATGAAAATGGGACGCACTCCGGATGTGTGAAGAGAACTTCAGTTTTGTTCAGCATGGTGGTTAATACAAATGCTAGAACAGACAATCTCTAAGAGGGGATAATACATGGTTGTTTCAAGTTTGTAAACACTTAATATCATGCATCCTTCAATGTGCAATAAGAGACCATTTAGGACATATGTTGCAAACTGAAGCACTTTAAAGTTGAGGCCACACTTTGTAAAAGGACTCAGCGGCCCACTCAAAGGAGGATGGTTCGTTCTGCAGGAGAAAAGCTTAAATCTGAGATGAGCATGTTAAATATATACCAGAAAACGTTCATTGTCATGTCTGGATGATGGATATTTATGCACAGCCATAGCTTGGACATTAATGTTGACATGGAAAACAAATCTGAGAGTGAAGAAATCAGCATAATTGGCAAATGACATAAATAAGCATAGGTTCTGTCATGTTTTGGTCCTTTGAAACATAAGAAAATGGGACAGAGGAATCAACACTTTAAAAATCATACTAACAAAATCATTTGAAGTACAAAAAAATAGTGCAAAACCCACACAACTGCTCTTCCAAATGGGTTTATCTCAATAGTATACAGTAGATTTAAAATCAGCCATCTAAAAGTGAAGGGTTTTATTCAAAAATGCCATATCTCCATATTGCAACTGCTCATCCAATGTTTTCTAGGTACGTTTTCTTTATTTCAGTGATATAATACACAGAAATAAAGAGGAGGTTTCAAACCTCCTAGCAGTTTCTAGGATCAAGTATTCAGTCAATTTCCATTTCCATTGCTGGATATCCCATTTTGGAATGAAACTCCTCGGGTTTACTTTATACGTGTCCAGCAGTTTGGGGCAGTAATGAAGGTTTCATGCCCATAAGACGAAGCAAAGCCAATCGCCTCCCTAAACCCCGCCCCCTTACACACAGAAGATTTCTTAAGAGTGTCATCAAACTATCCTGACTGACTCTTAACGCCTGGGGAAAAATGAATCAAGACAACTTTGTGAAATTAAGAAACTCTTTGGTGTCAGAAAAAAAACATGGCCGCAAGCATACGGTATGTCACATTACCTGAACCCGCACTGTCAGATTTGTGTCCAGCTGTTGCGCTATATACAACATTTGGCAGCAAACTGAACTGACAAAGTCTTGTCCCCTCTTTTCAAAATAAAAGCCCGACAGATAATGCTCCTATATTGACACAACTAGCAGCATATCCTCACACCTCATGAAAAAGAAATCTAATCTAATTACAATAGGATTCCGGTTAATCACATTGAAAAACACTGTCAAGCAAAAACAAAAACCTCAAAAGACCTATTGTAATACATAGGTCAATATATTGTTATATAGACATTGGCGCCCATACACATATTCCTGAATATATGTATGTTTACAAAGACACAGATATACACGTAGGTAGAGGTTAGCATATATGCGTCATGAGGCAAAGGCAGAAACAGTTTTTTTAAGTTAATGGTTCAGAGAGAGATGACCAACGGCACTGCGTGGAACACGTATGTGTGCTTGGTCATTTCTACTGGCAGCTACAGATACAAACACAGCGTTATCACTTCCATTGTGCTGTAAGAGACACATGCTTTTTTTCCTACACATTGAGAAACAAGACTGAAAAAAAGAAAGAAAAAAAAATTCAGCTACAAATGTATGCCAATAAAAATTTGAATGATCATATATAGATACATCTTTAAGACAGGTAAAACTTAAATTTGTAACCAAAATATATATATATATGTAATTATATTAAGGGCAATCTTAGCCTTGCCCATCAACACATCATCCTTCTCATACATGACTTTGCTATAGCCCCTTGAAAGCCTGAAGAAAATAAGCTCTTCATGGATTTTCCAGTGTATCCACTCTTATCAATTCATTTTTATTATAGGTCAATGTAAACTCGTCATTGGGGTAAACATTTTCAGCACTTTCTTTTTCGCATTTAATAGACAGAAGAAACAAAATAAAACTTAATGCCCAGCTTCATTTAATCCCCAACTATTATTCGCTCCCCATAAATAATTACATTTAAAAATAAAACAGAGTGATTCCATAAATTCACCATTCGTCTTTCTCACCCAAAACCCATTTGCTTGGTAAAAGCTGTAAAAAGGTATGGTCGGTGATGAACTAGTGTACTACCAGCCCTTATTTGGTGAGAGGCAATAGATTCAGAATCTCCCTGCCCATTTATTTACTCTTTTAACCACTTCAAAGGCCCTTTCTAGACAAAAACAATATATTAAAAAAAAGGAAGGATAAGCCATACTTACAGATGCAAAAAGACAAACTCCAAAAATAATTTAGACAGAAAAACAAACAAGTCCTTCAGTGATTTAATCATTACTACAGAAACTTGCACGTTCATCGAGTTGATTAGAATTGAAGGACAAGGGGTCATCAGACTTTCCTCCTCATTTAAGTCCACTGTGTTTAGCAGACACCATAAAGGGCAGAGAATGACCAAATGCAGTCAGGCTAAAAGAACAGCACTTTATATCTTTTTATATATGCCTGATGGATATATGAAAGGTCCCCTCTTCTCCTACTGTGTGGACTGATGTTAAATGAACGTCATCACTCTCAGGTGAAAATGGAATGAGAGTCTCCTAAGAGCTTCTCTTCTTCCATTTCTTTCCTCTTTCCATCCTTATTGCATTGCACTGGACAGTGTCTGTGCTGCAGAGGTCCTCGGGTGACTGAGGTAATGCAGAGGGATAATATTACGCTGAGGGGAAAAAGAAAACGGGAAAAAAAGCACAATTCTTTTGCGCATAACTCCCCCGTGGAGAGAAATAGAGAAGAGAAGTAGAGGGACCTGCAGCTCCTCAGAGATACTGGTGTGTGAAATTACAGAGTCCGATGCTCCACACGCTGCCATCAGAGCTGGTACCACTTTTTATCTTTGTATTTCAGCATCATCTGAAGGAAGTAAAGTGGGGAAAAATGTGAATCAGGATTAATGTGATAACCTGAAAAAGAAAAAAAATTATACAAGCGTTCAAACAGATGCCGTTCACGTACATCATGCGCATGTTTGGAAAAGGACTCTGCGCTGGCCATCATGGCTGCTGTTCTCTCCTCCAGCTCGCCCAGCTTCTGCCCTCTCTCATCCAGAGCTATTCTGGCACGGGCAAGTTCTCCCACAACTCCCGATGCGGCCCCCTTCATGCCTTCCATGTTGCCTGGGCCAGGGATGTGCTGCGCCAGGCTACGAGATGCCTTACCTGCAGCTGTTTCTCCAACTAGCAGAGACAAAAATAGATATGCAGATGGTTTGTTTACTAGTCTTTTTTTCATTTTTCCCCTAAATGAAAGGTCACCAATCATTTTACCAAAGACAGTGGAATAAAAGCCCTAAAAAGGTTCAAATTGTTTTACATATAGGACGTGATAGCTAAATAAAGTTTAAACTTTGAAATACTTATATATAGATATATATGTAATAACAATACAATAATATATGAAACAGCTAGAGTAATTCAGAAGCCCGATGACTGAAAACTACACATTTAAAACACGACTGCATTAAGTATTCAAATGCAAACATATATTTAATTGCACTCTGAGGTTTTGAGAACTCTTTATGCAATACTAGAAGGCACTCTGTACTCACAGAGGTCCTCCCTGTCCAGAGACTGAGCTCCTCCCCCAAAAAGGCCTTTGAAGAAACCTCTGTTTGGAGCCTCTGGTGTCTCCACTGGAGTAAATAACTCACTGAGCATCTCCTGTGAAAGACAGAAACATCAGTACATGTATTTCAATATATTGTCTCTGAAGATATGCAGACTCAGCCAGACTTTTTAAATCAACCCGATTAAGGCCTGTATCTCCCTGAAAGAGAAAAATGAAAAAGGAAATTAACCCGCACCTTCAGATCATCTACTGAATTATCTGTAAGCAGACAAGCACTTCACCTTTCTACTGACCTGTAATTTTCTATAAAGATAACTATGAGGAATTATACTGTTGTCTAACGTTAAAATGACCGCAGACCTGATTCAAACAGCTGGCCTACATAAGCATGTGTGCCAACATCACACCAGTTACTTTTCCTGGTTTAGACTGAGCCCATGTGAGAAGATTTATGTAAAGTAAACACAGCAAGTCTGTGTTGCTATGTTTGGCAGAAATCGCTGCCAAACTCCTTGTTATTTCTGAAATGCTTACAAATAAGAAATGTCTGCTATGTTGGACAAAATTAAACTCCAAATTTAAAGAAACAGTTTTACTGCTGGGGAGTTTTCTTGGGCTCTGAGGCATTTATGCATTTTTCTCTCTGCAAAGCTACTGGCATGGAGCTGATGGTGATCTGATCATTTATCTGACCTGCAAGTTGTCACACGTCTCCTGGCTGTAGGTGATCCTCTGGATCTCAGTAGGGGAGGTGAGGTACAAAGCCTGACCCAGGTTGGAGAAGCAGAATGTTCTTGCTATTCGCATGTCTGTGAGCGGCAGGTAGTTGACATCCAGAAGAGGCCGTAGACTGGGTAAACTGTAATCACGCAAAACACCACACCAAGTTGCTAACATCTATTTATGTTTTCCTCACTTGGCATCTCTGCTTGATCAGAGATTTCAAAATATAAATAACAGCAGACGCTAGTAATGATGATACCTCAGAGTCATTATATGCCCATTAGCACAGAAACAGGCGATGCAGTTAGCCCCGGCCATCTGCACAACATCAGCCCTCAGCACGAAGGAGGTCTCTGTGATGCTGTGTTTGTAGATGCGGGTTTGGGAGGGCAGGGCCACCACCTTGGCCTGTTTCTCCGAACACAGTATGGCAAAGTGAGTATCCTGGCTCTCCTGTGACGAGGGAGGAGAGGCTGGCCTGCGCTTCCGACTCTTCTCTTTTTCTTCATCTGAAGCATTTGGGTCATACCACTGCTCAAAGAAAGGGGGCAGCAGAGTTCCAGTTGCGTCCAGCAGGGCCATAGTTAAAATGCCTCCTTTGAGCTTGACCAGGGTGCCTAAGAAATTAGATATTTTCAGCTTAAAATAAAAAAATAATTGGTCACAGCATAATTCAAGGTCAGCTATAAGTGGCATGTTAAGTTCTTAATTGTCTTCTGAAACTTGTGCAATTTTAGCTTTAAGCTTTGTTTTCATAACTAAACTAATCCTAAAACCAAAACGTTAAGGTCAGGTCTGTTTACCCTTTGGCTTCAGTAAATAAACCACAAGATATACCCATCATGTGGATAGCATGTGACTATTGTAGCACCAAATGATATTGGAAACCATCTGTGTAGCTTTAGTCTATATTCTTGTCAACTCCTTGCACACACATTTCCACACCTTGATCAACATTTGCTTCCCCCTCGCTCCTTTTCAGCAATGAAGGCTGCTTGATCCTAGTTCTAATGCTTGATATTCTAATGCTTGTCAACAAAGGTCACTATGTATCCTCATGCAAATTTTATTTTAAGTTTGTTTTTTGTATTTTTTTTACCGCAAGACGCAATGCCAACTGGCTGCTGTAACCTCTGGTCTCCACTTGGTGGCAGGCTGAGGGCCACCATCATCACCGAGCCGTGGGTGGTCCCCACCAGCAGACAGGGGCTGACCAGGCTGTCTGTCTTCCTTGGAAAACTCTCACAGAAGTGAAAGGAGGAGATGGCCTCTCGAGATTCTCGGTCTATGCTGGCTACACTTGAACTGCGTGAGCGGGTGAATGAGTTATCCCTGGCATCTGGACAGCAGGAGGACAAACAAAAGGAAATGAGGAAACAACGCATGTAAAAGTGAAAGGGGTTAGTAGTTAAACTCTCCACTTTAGCATTTTAGTTCTCAGAGAAAAACAAAACCCTGGTTAGAAACATATATTCTGATGTCAGAGGTTTAGCAGAGAATGCCTTCCATCGTATTTATGTACTTTATAGAAATGGAAATGCAGCGGAAAAGAAAAAACACCCACAGTAACATGATAAATAAACCCAAAGTCCAACAAAAGAAAGAAAAAAAAAGAAAAAAAAAAGCTTTTGACATTGTGATGCTCTTTCAGTTTACATTCAAGGAGGCAGTTTACTTTTTTCCAAATGTGGATTTCCGGAATTGATTCTGAAAACTTAATGTTGTTTATTTAAAGAAATAAAAATGAATGTCCTATTATAGGATCACAAAAAAAAAGCAAAAAAAAAGCAAAAAAACAAACAGGTGTTTTAGAAGTAAGAATTATTCATGCATTATTTTTGTGCTGATGGCAACTTAAGAACAAGTTTTAACCCCCTTTAAAAAGCTAATGAGGGACACCAACATAAACACAAAAGGCCTTTTAACATGGGGGAAAGGCTTAAAACATCGGCCATCACGTGTGATCTTCACAAGAAAAAAACTGTAAACAGGAAAAGCAAGATTTTTAACACCGAGTGCAGTCATGCCACTGGAACTTCCTCAAAAAGAAGGAAACGCTCACTGTGAGAGGATTAGTGTTATCTGCCAAATCTGCAGAGTAAGAGCCATAGTAGTGGAGTGAGTTAGTACCAGTTATCCCACTGCAGCCCAAGTCAGACCAAGGCTGGTCCACTCACAGAAAATGGGGTCTGACTTAGTTCTACAGAGGTCCTCCTTCAGGTTCATCCTGGCTGTTGCCGTTCTTTTCACACAACACAACTGCTTCTTACATGTCTGAATGCGCCTTCGTTGGAACCCACCCTTTTCTTTGAGTTTAAAAAGAGAGTGTTTGTCTGAACTTGCAGTAAAAAAAACAAAACAAACAAACAAACAAACAAACAAACACACCCCCAAGACATCAGGAACATGACATTCAGAACAACATGTTGCTGGACAGTAAGAAGTAGTTTTGCAGACCTACTTAAAAGCTAGAACCTAATACAAAGCAGAAGATTCAAATAACAAGATGAACACCTGTAAGAAAATACAAAGGTTCTTAGAAAAATGTAAGTTATTAGTTTTGGCTTACCCAGGTCAGTCTTTTGCTCACTAGACGAGCTAATTTTCCGTGACATCTTAGCTGTAACAGAAACAAATACCTCTGTTTTACGGTGAAACAATAGTGCCTAAAAGGATTGAGATTTTTTTTAAACTTCTTTGATTGTGAATTACAACAAACGATTCAATAAGTATGATTTTTACCATTTTGTGGCCTTGTTTTCAATGTGCACATCAGTGTGCAATCACTGAATAGAACACAATTTTGAGTACGATTTTTAAACATGGTGATACCAACTGTAAGACAACTGTTGAGGTCACAGTGCATACACCAATCAGCTACAACATTAAGAACTTTGGCAAGTGAATTGAGTAATACTGATTATTTTGTTAGAATGGCACCTATAAACAGGTGGGACTATTTAGCGCTAGGTTCAAACGAACCTGATGGGCTAAAAGGAGAAAAATGTAAAAAAGAAAAAAGAGCAGTGCATGGACCAAAGTCCTCTCACATGGATCATTATGTGATAAATGTTCCTGGAAGGTAGAGGTTACTTCCTGCCAAAAGTGGCCCGAGAAGGGACAACTGGGGAAGGGTCTAGCTCCAATTGCACTAGAAGGGCTAATGTAACAAATTTCTGAAAACTTCAGCACTGTTTGATAGTACAGTATCAAATAGTACTATCAAACAGTACTGTTTGATATAAATGGATTGTTTGCATAGTTTGAGGTTGGACAGCTGCAGAGATGTATGCTGATCCCTGTTAGAAGCTGAAAAAAACCTACAGTGAGCGCATGTGTATCATAACTGGAACACAGACCAATAGAGAAAGGTGTCTAAAGAACCATGTTTTTACATCATGGAAACGGGGCGTCTGCATTGTTTACATGTGTCAGAAATTACAGCAGGATGCATGACGGCAAGCCAGTGGAAGCAGTGGGACGGTCTGGGTAACGTTCTGCTTTGAGGTTGCTATGGCATTCATGAAGATGCTACTTTGACACATAACCAACCTAAGCATGGTTACAGTCCACATACAGCACTTCACTGTAATAGTAGTTGGCTCTTTTAAGAAGAACAATGCCGAATTGCACCCCCACCCCCAAAAAAATGATTTTTTCCAGGAATATGAAAAGTTGTTGATTTTGCCCTCCAAACTTCCCAGACCTCACTTGAAGTGAACATCTGTGGGAAGTGGTAGAAATAAAAGAAGTCAAATGCGTGCAAGCCCCATCGAGGTAAAGAGCTTAAAGGATCTGCTGCTAAGGTCGTCCTGCCTGATACCACAGGACACCTCTGGAGGTGTCGTAGAGCCCACGTCTCAAAGGGTCAAACAACGAGGCAGACCTACAGAGTATTATGGAGGTAGTTTTAATGTTATAGCTCACTGGTGTATATCTTGTAAATGACTACTTGTAATAAGACGCTAAACTCTTTTGGAAATAACATTACAATTCATCATAATAAAAGCTGATTTTAAGGTGGTGCTTTTGGTTGTTGCCAGTTTCTTTTCTGTACAAATTCCTAAAAGTTGTCTGTTGCAGTCAGTGACCACCCTGAGAGAAACCATGAGAATACAAATGAGGTAGAGAAGCATCACAGACAACCGATAGAGCCTGTAATGTCAAACAAAGCAAGAGGCAGTTGAGAAATAAGGTAATTACAATTCAGTGAACATAGTTATGCAAAGAGAGTAGGTGGAGAGAGAGGAGGAGGGGAAAAAAATAAAAAGAATCAGTGGACAGCCAAACAGTTAACACTGAACTGAAGCCCTGGAATCAAACACACAGAGCAAGTATCTATAGTCCAAGAGAAATCATTTTGATGTTAGTGCTGTAGAGACTGAGGCGAGAAGCAGATTTTCTATGCTTTTGTTTTAGTTTCAAAAAATAAAACAAGAAAAACAAAACACACACAAAAAATAATCCTCAAGTAAAATTTCATTTTTCCATACTATATTCTAAGTTGTGTAACAGCAGTCTACAGTATTTTGGTAAAAATCTGCATAGAAAATCTGCACCTGAAATTGAAGAGTCATCCTGTCATGCACTTGATCAACCTCCCTGATTCATTTTCTACAAAACCCCTACATTATGTGATTAGTGAAAACCGATTTCTTTAATGCAATTATTCCTTTAACTGGCACAGTATGCACAGGCTTGCGTAGGATTAAGGCACAGTGTGGTTAGAACGCCGTCATTCAGAGAGAAAGAGTGAGTAATCACAAAGAATACATCTGAAAGATACAGTACCAAAGTCATTGGCAACCGTCTTGGAAAAGCGCCTGCTTTTCAACTTCACTGGAAATAAGGTTCAAAAATACAAGTCAGAGAACTTTAGTCACCGTCTAAATATTAACTTTTAAAGGGTCATACACTTGAAAATACAATACCCTTCTCTATGAAATTCTGCTTTTTGTCATCATCTGAATTGCAGGGTGAGGTAGAGCCTACATGACAAATGGCAGCCGATATGAAAGACGAATTTCAAAAGAAAATGATACAGTCGGTAGTTCACGCCAAGACTTACCTGAAGTAGGTGATCTGCAGCGGTCCTCTGAGGCATTGGACCCATCGTTGGAATCACAAGTTGCTGCAGGAGCCACAGAAATTGTAATTAAGAGTCAGACAGGATTACGCTGCAGTTAATTCCTATTGCACATGTAGTAACAATAACAGCTCAAGTATTACAAAGGCAATCATACAACGAGGTAATCATTCAATTTAGCAAGTAAGCTCTGCTTCAGTTTACAAATCTACCACAAGTGAGCTCACTAAATGCATCAGTATTGGCTGTCTAGTAGTCAAATCATAGGTGTATACTTTAAAGATACTCTCTCTCTCAAGTCTGAAATTTGACTCCATCCTCACTGGAAATGTCAAAGAAAAGTCTGTACTGAGCTTTGGAGATTTGGGGTGCTATAATAAAACCAGAGAATGTATCTCTATGTGATAAAAGAAAAGGCTTAGAGGAGAACAATGACACTGTGGGTAGGGGAGAAAAAAAAAATCTGACACAACAGGACTTACTGAAGTGAGATGAGCGTCGTTTTTTCATAGACTCAGAATACAAGAAAGAAAGTCTGGACATGCAAGACGTCACAGTTGGAATGTCTTTACCAAATCACAGAGAGAGATCAACAGTAAAAACAGTGAGACAGAAAAATGCCTGAAAATCTAACTGCAAAACAGAAGAAAATGTGAAGTCTCAGCTGCTTGCTGCTGAATTTCTATTTGATTCACTGTTAAAACAGTATATGTTTCCAATAGTGTTCTTGCAATTTGCATAAATTAAAGACTGCTTTTAAAAGGCAACCAAACAAAATGCAGATAAGAGTCCTGCATCTAGCATCAAGCGACTGAGACTAAAAAGAATGAAGACAAACAGTGACTGACAGGATGATTAGGCAAAGAGAGAAAAACACAATAGAAGACATGACAGAAACAGCAAGGCTGAAACAAGTAAACAAGGTTTATGTATTGTTTTGTCAGTAAACAGAATCAAAAGGCAGTGCTATTACAGCAGAGCGGCTCTGCTCAGCTACAGCATCCATTCTAACATGCATGCTCCACTGTCTTTGCTCCTTCCAACTGAACAGATGGAGAATCCGCCAGCGATGCCCCCTGTTGAGGGAGAGGAGCTACTGCAGGGGGCGGTGCTCACAGTGCGAAGTCAGGGCAGCTGCCAAGTGTCAGCTCTGCCTCCCTAACCCACCTCCAACAGCCTCCAAAAGTGTTCAGCAAAAAATAAAGGAATACAAGGAGCGTAGCAAATTATTTACTGTATTTCAGTGAGATAAATGTTATCCAGGGTGACAAGTTCAGCAGAACACAGAGAGAAATCAACAGAAAGAGTGTTTAATTGGTTGAGTGCAGCTCACCTCCGGAAGGCTTTGCTTTACGTGGGGAGCGAGGCTGCCTCTGATAGGGGTCAGATGGGCTGTACAGCTCTGATGTGCCCATATTGAAAAGCAGGGTTTTCTGGAGGTAGTCCACCACAGCCAGACCGTTACTGTTTCCAAACACCACACTGAAAGACAGAAAGGTCAAAGAATGCAGTGGAACTCCAAATTATGATTTAGGCAGGCTTTATTTACTTTTGCACTTGGTTGAAAATGCTTGGTTACAGTGTGCTTTGAGACAGGATATAATTACGATTTCTTTACCCACACAAATTGAGCACAAAAAAGGATACCGAGCTATGAAGACTAGTGAGAGCCCAAAGTGATGTGACCTCATGTCAAAAGCATCAGCTGTATTGAACATAAGAGACTTACAGGCCATAGGAAGAATTGATTGCCAGGCTGGTGATCTGCTGAGGTGGCTCCCCACTCACCCACACCAGCTGGATCACCAGTTCCACCTGGTTGCCCGGAGACTGCTTCAGTGGGGAGCTCCGCACCCTGCATCAAACACACAGCAGGATACGACAGCAGGCTGCAGTTTACACTGGAATAAATTATCATCTATGGGCAAGCTACACTCTGGATCATCATTTTTATTGCTATTACTATTATTATTACTTTAAAAGCATTTTATTAAGAGGATTCTTTTTTTCTTGTGTTTTTCATCTCTTCTGTGACAGCCTGCTTCACAAAAACAGAAGCCAAGGCAAAATTAAAGAAATTCCATACTGTAGACATGGTATATTGTCTCGGGGGCCATCAGAGGAGTTGCTCCCTGTTGATGGCTGAGTGGGAAGCTCACTCTCCTGAGGGCTGGAGGAAGCTCCCGGGGTTGGCAGGGTGGGGGTCTGCTCTCCTCCTGGGTCAGGAGAGTCCACTTCGCTAAACTCACACTGCATTCGCACCTCCAAGAGCTAAACAAGAAATAAAAAGACAAAAAAAAAAAAAAAAAAAAAAAGGCTTGTTCTTGTAAATGTTTATCGACTATTATCCTATTATCTATCCATCCTGACCTTAGGAATAATTTACCCATTCACTCTGTCCATTTATTATGCCCCAAGCAATTTACCTGAACAACTTCAGTGGTAATTTCTTGTTTGCTGAACCTATAGACAATAACATGAGCAGATACTCCAGCCACGCACAGCATCCGGCTCTCGGGACACCAGGACAAGGTCTGGATGGCAAATGGGTCCTCATCTACTATATCTGTGTTTGGCTTCTCCTCCTTTCCACGAGCCCTCTCAAACACCTTGGCAGTCTTCAGCTTGTACAGCACTTGAAGCATTACTGTGGAAGGAAAATAAGGACATGATGATTCACTGCGATCAGTGCACTCTCGATAGCACAGGTTACAACAGGAATCGAGGTGGTGGTGATTAATATTGTTCTTTCAAGGAGCACTACGTTCAAAATCCAAGCAACTAGAATTAGAGATGGGAATTAGTTTGTGAACAAAGAAACCCAGAACATCAGTGACGTAGCAGCTCATCCGGCTCGAAATCCATCAGAATTCACAGGTTATTGTAATGTGTGAAGTACAGAAAGAAAGTGATAAGTTTTCTTGTCATTGGTGTGTTATATTGCACAAACTAATGAGAATTGCAAACAGTAATTTCTAGGACAAAATAATGTAGTTCAACACCAAATAGAAGTGTCTGGGTTCAGTAGCATTATAACTACAGGGTCAGTCGTAACTATGGCCATAAAAAGTCTTAAAATATGTGCACACTTCAGTATGTCGTAGTAACAGTAACCATATAACCAATGGGAACCATCAACCAATAGGACCACTTGATTTTTAAAGTTTTTAATTTAGTGCATGAATACATCTCCTTGGAAGGAAAATTAAAGATAAAGACATGCAAGGATGAACTTTTTGTAGTAAGTAATATACTGCTCTTAACAACAAAATACTCACGTGCAGAAGCATCCCAGAATTTGATTGACCCATCAGCATGTCTATTATAGCAGGGGATAGACAGAATAAAAACAAAACAATTAAACATTTATTACTGAACAAGACCTGTGCACATCTTAAAATAAGTAAGCACGACTCATTATATTATTACTTTATTCAATCAATACAGACCCTGTGATTATAATCTCAGGGTAACTCTGTGTGCCTTGGCCCCAGTTTCCCCCACTAATGGGCCATTCCTGTTAAAAACAAATAAACAAAAATGAAGCTTCTGTCTGCGGTGAAGTCAAATGCTCATGTAAAATTCACACAGACAACACAACTGAGTCATTTACCTTCTTACTGTAACCTTGCCTCTTTTGCCGACAGCCGACAGAGTAAAGTGCAGGAATAAGTTCAGCAGGACAGTCAGCAAAATACTCACAGCAGGTCACCGGTGACTCGTGGATAGTCAGAGGATAAGGGTTTTCAAATATGGGATACCTGTCACGATAATCAGTCACATGTTTACACTAAATATTATACAGCATTATGCTACATGTTCTGATCTGTATGTCAAACTTATAGCTGCGATAATAAATGTTAACAAAAGATGCTAGATTTTGTGTAATGTATTCACCAAAGTTTGAAATTTTAATAAAGTTTATTACACTTTAGAGTGGGCAATGTGGCCATTTGGTGTAGAATCTAGATGCACAATGTAAAATATCCATGTTTTTTGATGCAATATAATTATTAATACAACCACAGCTAGAAAGTTGAATATTTACCCAATCTGTCCGAGGTCTATTACAACTAAATCTTTCTCAAGAAGGACCACCACAGCATAAGGCTCCTGAAAGTCTAGAAAACAAATCGGCAGAAAATTTACATGGATAATGGCATCGTTTCAGTTGGTAACTGCATATGCTGTTCTGACTAGTGTCACAGCTCACCATTTGGATATGGAGTTTCACACAGCGTTAGGAAATCCACAATCGGGTAGTCCATCTCCAGAACAGCAGTGCTCTTTCCGTGCATCACAGTAAGACAGGCTCTCCTCCCCACTGTATCGTAAGACAGACCTCCAGACAGCACCATGAATGGGTCCCTGGGTTTAACAAACACACATATTTTAATAGCTTCTTCAATAAAATTGAATTAGTTGTGGCAGATGAAAAATTACCAGGTGTACTCAGCGGTAAATGGGTAAAGAGGGAAACCAAATTTTACTGTGGTGCTTTCTCTGGGGACTTTTTGGCCCGATTTTGATAGAACCTGTTCTGGGAGGAGCCTACTTTTTAATCATTATTAAAACTATATTAATCCCCGTCCTCAAACGCCTGAGAAAAATGTATTAGATCACTTTCAATGAAATGTTGGCCATTTAGTTAATGGCTTTGACATAAGAGCATCTCTTCAGATGCTGCCAGCTGTGTCAAAAATCATTATATTTAACAAGTATCATGAGACTGTTGCCTTGTCTAATTACTTATTAGACAGGGCTTTTTCATCAGCATAAGGACGCTGTCAAGAAGACTAACCTGTTACATATTCAGAATAACAGGAAAGGACATTTTGAGTACAGGATATGGTTTCAAACTAGCGTCCGTTAAGACACAGGATGGGTGGGAACTACCATCACACTCACCCAGCCCTTGTTGTTTTGTATTCCACTTTCAGGATAGGCTTGCATGGTTCTGGCTTTTTTCCATCCTTAGGCTGCTTTCCTATTGGATTTCAAGATGCCAAAAAAACAAAACAAAACAAATCCCCGAAACAAAAACTCATTATATTTTACATTGCAGGAATACAGTACATATGGTGCATATGTGAACATATGGACATGTCGGCATCCATCTGTTACACATGTCAGGTCTCAAAGACTGGTGGGACTACACTTTATTTAAAAGGCCTATATATAGTTTTTCCATTAATCATGCCTCTGTGAATATAAACAATACAAGTGTGTGTATACAACAGCTCCTACCATGTGGTGTGATGATCTGTGCGGGCTTGGCTGGGGTTCGTACATTCCACGTGGTCAAAGTGCCATCGGAGTGGCTGCAAACAAACTGTTTGCCCTCATGGTGCCAGGCGACTGAGTGGATTGCCTGAGAAACCACGGTAGCCGTTTAACAGAGTGTGATACATAATGTACAAGTAACATATGTTTGACAGTTCAGAATAGCAAAGTAACTCTACATCATTGGGGAAATCAGGGTTTGTCTCAACAAAGGTGATACTTGTCCACGGATAGTTTGGGTCCCTTCAAAAATTCATGAGTAACTAGCAAAATACATGATAATGTTATTTTGAGCTGTTTTCCATTCTCTTAAAATGAAAGAAACCTAAACGTCCATTTCATGTGTCATTATAAAACTTCATGTGTTAACTGATTTACAAAGAAACCCAACAAGACCAAACATGTTTCTCAGACAACAGTGAGGAACACCAGACAAACTAGTTTCCTCACAAGAACTGGAACAAAGGAAAACAATGCCTTACCTCATCATAATTGTAGCGGTAGTCAGCTTTTTTGCACTTCAAATCCCACAGCACTACTATCCCAGACTCAAATCCAATCAGAAGCTGAAATAACAAGAGAAGCAAAGCAAGTAAGGCTCAGCTGACTGCTGTTAAACTACATTCTGCACAAAACTGGTTCATAATGAATTCACTTTATGAATGTATGACAGTTATTTATTTTACATTCCCTAGTAGACTTTTATGACATTGCTTAAGATGGCATAAGATGCAATATTCTGACATTTACACACTGTAAGAAGCAACTAAGTTTTCACTTACTATGCAATCATGTAAACACTAGAGTAGCTTATAACTATTTTTTCAATAGTTAGGAATTTCCTTGTGAGAACAGGCTAAAAGATACGCATAAACCCTTTGAAATGGCCTGTAAGAGGCAAATAGAAGGGTCTGCATACGAGCGTAGGTGTTTTTGCATTTTTGGCTCTATATGATGTGAGAAAGGATATCCTTAATATGGTCACCTCAGACGAATATTGTCTGCTGTTCAAACTGTGTTTGCAGGGGGCAGGCCAATAGAAAGACAGCTGGCTTAAATTGGGGCTTGTTCAAGACAGTGAATGAAATGAGGGGGCGCACCAAGATGATCATTTTCACCTCTAAATAACGCAGAGCTACTCCAAAAGAACTTAACAGTGAGATTCCAGAAATAAAAATCCAATTCATATGCTTCATAGGTATGAGCTATAATACTCTGTGTATTTATTTCTTTTAACAAAAGTGCAATTTATTTGCAGTGTCCCGGAAAAGCACTACTCTAACAACAAACTTAAATTTCAGCAAATGCCCAACTGGTGATAGCAGTAACATGAATTCCTGTGCCAAATTGTCTACCAGCAACTAGTAGCAAATTATAATAGTCAACCCAAATGCTCCTAGTTGTTGTTGTCGCTGCCTTTTTTACAGTCACAGTGGTAGCCTACTCTGCGCCATCACTGCAGACTGTCCTATCTTTAGCTCTAGGAAAACAGTAACTGCTAGTTGAGGTAAAACATCATTACCTATGATCCAAAGCAGGAATGTCCCCTGCAATCCATCTTTATCTAACTGATTATCTCCAGTTCACTTAATCACTTAAGTGGAACTTTAACTTTCTTGAATTAAAAGCAAGCCTATATTTCTTTTAAAAGACATGAACTTTTACATTATATAACTGAACAGTCTCTGAGATCCAACTAAAAATCATTTCCAGCTCTGCTTCTCCACATAACATCATCAGATGACGTACAATTGTTTATCTTCTCTATAGGCAATGTAATGTTCAGCTATCAGTTACCTTGCCCTCATCCATGGGGTTATCACTGATGTGCACAACAGGCCCTGGGTGTGTCTTGGTGGATCTGTCAGAGAAAGAAAGAAATGGGAGACAGTCCAAGTCAATTTAGGTATATTTGCCACTGATGAGTAAAATGTATCTGATAAATATAGTGATACAGTGGAGCTTTTAGAGGGCGGTAAGATAGAGGCAATTAGGAAAGACATCCAAAATGTAAGCCCCAATCTTTGGTCTTGCACAGAGAAAAAAAGGACAAGATAATAAGATGAAAATGTGCATCAGCGCACCAGAGGGGAGGAAAAAAAAAAAAAAAAATAGCCATGACATATGAGAGAGACAAACAGCGAGGGAGAGGGAGAGTAGGGTCACATGAGGGTCTATGAGAGATTATAGTGTTTCAAGACAGGATCACCGTGGCAACAGAGCAAGGGGCATGGAGGAAGTGAAGGTCTGGCCTAAAGAAAGTGTTGCTGCCTCTGAGTGTGGTCTGGCTCCAGCGGCTAATGATCTCATTGCTGCTGCTGATGAGTCGATACAGTCAGTGATGTCGCAGTGAATAAAAGGAAGGGATGGAGCGGAATATGAACTCCAGCCGGTAATCACCACATTGTGATACACCCGCACCACAAACACCAGGCTTAATAACCAGTTCTCATGTTTGTGAACTGGATTTTATTGTAATAAAGATTATTTTAACCTAGACTGTTAACTGACGGAATCGTCGGTAAACATTACTTTAAATTAACTAGTTAAAACTGAGTTTCATTTCCAGCATAACACCAGATATGATCATTAGCGCCATACACAGCGTTTCTATCCACTGTAGGAGAGTCCACGAGTTTCCAAAGGCAACAAGCTATGAAGCAGAGCGTGGAAAAGACGATTCTATCAGAGGTTCTACAAAGACATAACTGAATATTTCGCTTTAGATTTCACACCACATCGTTTCTTTTCATCTTCAAAATCAAGACAAGCTAAATCATTTCCCCATCTCCACTTCCTGCATCTGACACATTTATCTAAGAGGACGGCATACTTTGCTCTGACACTTTCAACTCCAGGATCTAAAAGAGCAATTTATCCGATTTCACCAGCAGCCTCATACACACGCACACCTTTATGCAACCAATTTTAGCTGCCAGTCACTTTCTAAAATAATCTTTTTTAGCTCGCTGGTGGGCACATGGAAAATAAAATTGCTTGGAAAAACTTCTACTGACTAAAGTTTTCATTTAGAGAAAAATAGTAATTTCACTACCCCTTTTAAGCCCCAATCAAGGGCTCAGAATGGGCAAATTTTGTGGTAGACATGTAACCAGTCCTTTTAAGACATGTACTTCTTTCTGTTAATCTGAATGACCTGAGTTCATGTATCAATGTGTACTTTGATCACTTCACAGCGAGTCATGACGGCAATCTTACTAGATTGTACCAGTAACATTTTGGTATCACTTTGCAAACCACCCAATTCGGAATACATTCAGTTACTTTAAGAGTATCAACGGTATATTAACATTATATTAAAAAAAACAAAAACTTCTGGCACCTGCATTTAGTCTCACTTTGCTCAAACTAATCTCACAGCCTCAAAGCGACTTCTTTATGTTGTCCCGACACAAAACAGTTTTATGACACTGCTTGCTAATGAGATTTGAGGTTAACAGTTCGTTTTTTTTTCGTTTCAGCCATTTCTAGAAGTCGGTCTTCTGTGTTCCTAACATGCATGAAATGTCAGACAGCACAACAGCAGTAATTTCATCATTTGCTTGTAATGAATTGTCCCCAATACATTTTACTGAGGTGTGCATGAATGAGGTCCATGAAATGATCAAAGTACCTATATAACACACTATATGAACAAAAGTAATAATTCACTGCCTAATCTTTAATTTCAGGTGTATTCCTACTGCCACAGGTGTATTAAATCAAGCATCTATCCATACAGTCTGCCTTTACAAATATTTGTCAAATAATGGCTAATTCCAAAGAGCTCTCTGAATACCAATGTGGTACTATAATAAGATGCCGCTGTTGCAACAACTTTGTGAAATTACTTCCCTCCTGGATATTCCACAATCAACTGTAAGTGGTATTGCAAATTGGAAGTGTTTAGGAACCACAGTAACTCAGCCACGCAGAGGCAAACCACACAAAGTTACAGAACTGCGTTGAGGCGCATAGAGTGTAAAATTGTCCAATGGATTGCCGAGTCAATATTCACAAAGCTCCAAACATCATCTTGAATTATCATCAGCACTAAACATGTGTGCTGGGATCTTCGTGGCATGGTTTTTCGTAGTGGAGCAGCTCCAGTAGGTATAATGTGCAGGTGGTCTGGTACTTTCATCTACACAGTGTAGGTGGCATTGAAAGACACAGACTTAATGTCTTTTACAGAACTGTTAAATGTTGCACAGTTATAATGGCTCAGTCTGTACTAATGGGAATGCTGGAGGGATGACCCAAACGACTGAATTCCTAAACTTTATCTAGCAAAATAACTTTGCTAGATATTGCAAGTATGAAGAGCGCGTCGACCTGCCAGTGCTGCCCTGTTTGACCAGAAATTATTTTTATTATCACTTGTTAAATTATGTATCAAGTAAATAATCCACCATTTAGCAAAGCTGTTTAAAAATGATCACTTTAAATTCCTGTGTGCTGGGAAAACCTGTATTCGATACACGAAAATGCTATCATAACCAGAAAAGATACTGATAGTGATTTTATCCACCTCGATCATACACCTGCATGTGACATTAAATGGGAACCCCTCAGAAGATGCAGGATGTGATGTAAAATTCCTTGCAAACTTTACAGTGGGTGTTTACACGAGGGAGTGGGTGACACAGGATGGGTCACTGGGGTTATGAAGTGGGCACTTCCTATCAGAGATGTTTGCTGCCAGATTTAACAGAACACCTCCAGAAGTCTCAACTGCAAGTCCTGGCATGGCACAATCACCACCTCCATACCGCCCTCATACCGATCAGAGCTACAGTATTCTCAGCTTACAGGACTAACTGTTTCTGCAAGTGCCGGCAACCGCATTCCTTTGCAATTTTGAGTTTCCTGGTCGAGTGTCAGCTGCACAAAGAAGATATGCAAATAGTGAGTGAGTAATGGGAGGAGGGGTGTAGTTGTGAAATACAGACTCACAGTTCGATGGCTTTGTTCCACATAATAACGTAGCCTGAGAGAGTGAAGGACTCCACGTTGACAATGTGGATGTTTCCTCTTTCTGTGCCGATGTACAGCCATTTGCTCTGGAAGGGCAGGTGGCAGTATGTGATTCTGGAAGAGATCAAGATCCATCACAACCAGGCTTTTTATTATCTCATGACTCAGTTGGCATCAGACGGTTACCCTTGTCCCTAATCACGCTGGTCCAACTGGAAGAAGAAGCAAGTGAGTAAGATTTAATTACAAAGGCCTTGCACTGTGTCACACTAATGAACCCAGACTATATATAGATCAGTTGGGGGGAACAGCAGAGTAAATACTGTTGCCTATTCTCAACTGGGTGAAAGAAGAATCCAGTCATACACAACATTTACTATCTGAAATAGAATGAACCTGCAAAAATGTTTAGTCTTTTGCTATTAGTCTGTACCTTAATTGTGATTTTTTTTTTTCCAGAGGAAATCTGGAGTCATTTTTAAATGAACTTGGAAATACTGACTTAACAAAAAGTGTGGAGTTTCTTTTAACAGACCTGATGGTTTAAACCATGAAGATGCTGCAAAATATCTGTAGCAACTGTTAAATGAAAGGAAAAGTAGCACACAGTCAAAATATACTGCCATTTAAGTCAGTTTACTGCTCATTTTTGTCTTGCCATTTCAGTGCAAATATGTCCCACTGGATTATAGAATACAATAACTTTATTATCAACATCAATGGGAAATTGTCTTCTGTTCACTAAGCAATAAACAAAATGAATCAAATCCCTTCACATCAACCCACATTCATACATACACGCATATAAAACTTCAACATAACAACAATAAAAACACATCACAGCATCTCATTATTCAGTATACCGATTGGCTCTTGGCACAAATGATCCCTTATATACTGCGGTGAACACCGGGTCAGCAGCAGATAGCCGCTCCCCTGGGTGGGATCATCTTATGTTTCCGGTGTTCCTATAGCATTATTATAATGTCCTTCTGGCCAACATAAAATTTCTGCTACATTTGAAAGAGGGTCTGAACAGAGAGAGGGAAAGAAAATCTGCAGGCCAAAAATCCAAATAATGAGCTGAGAAAAATCGCAAAGCTGGGTGATAAAAATCTGTGGGTGCCACATTCCTTCTAAAATGTAGTAATTTGATGCATTGTTAATACTGAACCATTAGTCACAGATTTTCCTTATTGGCTAAAAACAGCTGGTGCAGCCCCACAGCATGTGGCCAGCTGTGAAGGCAAATTTTGTTCACATCAGATGCAGTGTTGCAGCAAATGCAGCAGCAGACAAACAAACACATTACTGTACCTCTCCCTGTTAAACTTGAGTGAATGCAGGATAGCAGGGATTTTTTGCCTCAGGTTCCACAGGTGGATGCTGTCATCAGCTAAGGCACTCACCAGCGCCCCCTGTGGTGACGGTGATAAACAGAGCAGTTATTTGCGTTGAGAAAACATCATGTGGCTTGGCATTGACACTTTATATGGCTGTATCACAAGCATGTGATATAAAGCTCGTAGACTCTACAGTATAAAGTGTGCTGAAGTAAAATTAGCTCAAAGAGACAATATTCAAGTAAAGTCAACTGAATTGAACTGAAATGAATACAGGTTACACCACTAGCATTACTTTTAATCGATGTATAAAAGCACATTCATCAATAGATTCATGGCTGGGTGTGTGAGGAGAGGAGTGAACAGGCTGGGAGCGAAGAGGTGGTGAGGAGGAGGAGAGAGAAAATCAAACAAGGACACAAGGAACAGGTAATGACAACAAACCTCGTTGATCAGGAACTGGAGCTGGATGACAGCAGCGTTGCTCTCGTGCTGACAGTAGCACTCCACCCCTGCACGGCCAAAGCTAAAAAAGTTTGCTCAGTCAAAGAAAACTGGAAAGGTGCCAGGAAGGTTCATGCAGAAATCGAGGAAAACCTACTTTAAAAATGCTGCAACTTTTCTAATATAATTTCATACAAAAAGATGAAAGTGACAATTGCTATTTCCAGCCTTCTGTGATTTTTTCTAATCAAAGGTTCTTAAGTTCTTTGTTTGTTTTTTCTGAACTAAATGGAAGTTGACATTTTCCGCTTGCATTCCTAAAAAGGCACAGGCAAAAGCATGTAACACACTAAACTGATGAGTTATAAATAAAATCAGTGGGCCCTGTCTCCCTCATATATTCACATGCGTCAGCCACTGTGACGGCAGCATGATTAACTTCACACTCACCTCTCTCTATTGGACTGTTAAGTTTAACTTAGAGAATCTCTGCCTGCTTAATTTGTCCATTCAGAAGCAATCAGGCTGCTCGTTCAGCTAATAAAAGACACGGGGCATCACAAATTATGAACAGTGCAAAAGTCAGACGCATTGCCACGTAAGCATCGGGGCTGTAACGCCTCAGATAAAAACCTCCAAAATACTTTCACAAGCAGCTGAATAATCACAAGAGAAATTGGGGGAAATCCTTTCAACTAGCCTCTAATCACTCTCAGAGACATATGTGCACTGAGTTGTGCATGCAAGCACAAAAGGAGGAGGAAACCACAAGAGCACTAATCATACAGCCAGTCTATGAACAGACAGACAGACCACAGAGACAAAAAAAAAAGGTGCAGTGTTTCTCATACTATTAATGTTAGCATGCAAAAGAAATGCTCCAAAGACTGGCAGCTATGTCGACTAAAACCATTTTAAGGCTCAAATAGTATGATTCTGTACAGGATTAAACAAGCAAGCAGTGATCAAACAATCCCTCAGTTCCTTAAACAAACTAAGGTGGGGTTCAGGACACCGTTTCAGGATGGGCTCAACAGTGGACATCAGGTCGTTATATGACAGTGGTAAACTCAGACTATTAGAGTCAAGACTTTTTTAGCTGGCGCCAGTCGAAGGCTGTGGGCAACTGACCTCACATTCACCCACGACCTTTGTGTCCAGTTTTAGCTCCTGGCATTGCAGGTTGTGTACAACATTTGTCAAAATTATTAATGGTTATCATGTTTCCATAGGTCCACAATGAACGAGGAGGAGGAGGAAGAGTCATTAAGTCCATTGCATACCCTCTGGTGATGCATAAATAAGAGCATAAGAGCAGAGAGGTAGCTGAAAAACCAAGAATGGTAATATTTAACAGTGTTTTCATCATATTTCTGTAATCCAGTGGGGGTCATTTAAGCAACCAGGCAACAGTGAACACGAAGTATGTGTTGTTTTCCAGTGATTATCAACTTTTCGCTGTAAGTATTGTAAAACTGATTCAGCTGCAATATAGGTTAATAGTACTGCTGAGCAAAGCTACTTTCTAGGCTAGCAGGAAATTACTAACACGAACCTCACAACAAGATGTTATCACTGCGGGGAGCGAGTGCATTCTTTTCTAACTTCCTGCCACACTACATGATCAAAAGCTTAGGGGCCACAGGTATAATCTACATAGTAATAGACCATCTATACAACAATACATGTTTCTCTTTATTTCTTAATTTCATTGGCAGTGTGGACACAGGAAGATGGGTCACACCACAAAACAAAAAAGCTCAAAATGCTAGTTCCTGTCTCACACTGTTGGTCATATGGTAACTTTCATATGATTTGCTTTTCTCTTAAATTAAGTAACTTCCTAAGTTGAGTAATCAGTTAGTTGATTGCAAGGTTCCAGTTTTTGAGAGGTGAAGAGTTCCTGCTGCTTCTTGTCCTGAATTAATTAACGTTTTGGACTGCAAGACAACACAGCGATGAACTGACTGGATATTAGCTTTGTCTGATTAAATAAAATGCTTTATCCGTTATTAAATAGCATTATATTTTGTAATTAAGATTTCGACTTCCTTGGCACAAAAGTGGGGAAATCAATCACACAAACAACACAAATATACAGAAAATATTGGTAATATTGGAAGTCTCTATTTGTGCGTCCTACTGAATAGATCAACTCTCTGAGCAACTGTATTGACCTGCACTTTAAGATTTCCAGTCATACTATTAAATCAAATACATTTTGAGAATTTAGAAAACCATTATCTGGTAATCAATCATGAAATCAATAGCAGCGCCGTAAGCACATCACAGGATAGCACAAGTCACGAGTGGGAAATTCATCTTCCCAAGAGACCACATGAGAAACTGGGAATGGTGTTGAGCTGAACGCAATTCTGCTCAATATTAATTTTATCTCTTTATAAGCTGCTGCTAGTAAGAGTAGATGTTCCAATGAGGCCCAAATTGTGGCCCCTTGGGAAAGTTAAAGGCCCACTCTTGACCTAAACTGACCCCTCACTGGGCCTACAAAAGAGAAATAGTTTTGAATACATACAGTGGGGCAAAAAAGTATTTAGTCAGCCACCGATTGTGCAAGTTCCCCCACCTAAAATGATGACAGAGGTCAGTAATTTGCACCAGAGGTACACTTCAACTGTGAGAGACAGAATGTGGAAAAAAAATCCATGAATTCACATGGTAGGATTTGTAAAGAATTTATTCGTAAATCAGGGTGGAAAATAAGTATTTGGTCAATAAGAAAAATACAACTCAATACTTTGTAACATAACCTTTGTTGGCAATAACAGAGGTCAAACGTTTACTATAGGTCTTTACCAGGTTTGCACACACAGTAGCTGGTATTTTGGCCCATTCCTCCATGCAGATCTTCTCGAGAGCAGTGATGTTTTGGGGCTGTCGCCGAGCAACACGGACTTTCAACTCCCGCCACAGATTTTCTATGGGGTTGAGGTCTGGAGACTGGCTAGGCCACTCCAGGACTTTCAAATGCTTCTTACGGAGCCACTCCTTTGTTGCCCGGGCGGTGTGTTTTGGATCATTGTCATGTTGGAAGACCCAGCCTCGTTTCATCTTCAAAGTTCTCACTGATGGAAGGAGGTTTTGGCTCAAAATCTCACGATACATGGCCCCATTCATTCTGTCCTTAACACGGATCAGTCGTCCTGTCCCCTTGGCAGAAAAACAGCCCCATAGCATGATGTTTCCACCCCCATGCTTCACAGTAGGTATGGTGTTCTTGGGATGCAACTCAGTATTCTTCTTCCTCCAAACACGACGAGTTGAGTTTATACCAAAAAGTTTTACTTTGGTTTCATCTGACCACATGACATTCTCCCAATCCTCTGCTGTATCATCCATGTGCTCTCTGGCAAACTTCAGACGGGCCTGGACATGCACTGGCTTCAGCAGCGGAACACGTCTGGCACTGCGGGATTTGATCCCCTGCCGTTGTAGTGTGTTACTGATGGTGACCTTTGTTACTTTGGTCCCAGCTCTCTGCAGGTCATTCACCAGGTCCCCCCGTGTGGTTCTGGGATCTTTGCTCTCCGTTCTCATGATCATTTTGACCCCACGGGATGAGATCTTGCGTGGAGCCCCAGATCGAGGGAGATTATCAGTGGTCTTGTATGTCTTCCATTTTCTGATGATTGCTCCCACAGTTGATTTTTTTCACACCAAGCTGCTTGCCTATTGTAGATTCACTCTTCCCAGTCTGGTGCAGGTCTACAATACTTTTCCTGGTGTCCTTCGAAAGCTCTTTGGTCTTGGCCATGGCGGCGTTTGGGGTCTGACTGTTTGAGGCTGTGGACAGGTGTCTTTTATACAGATGATGAGTTCAAACAGGTGCCATTCATACAGGTAACGAGTGGGGGACGGATAAGCTTCTTACAGAAGACGTTACAGGTCTGTGAGAGCCTGAGATTTTCCTTGTTTGAGGTGACCAAATACTTATTTTCCACCCTGATTTACGAATAAATTCTTTACAAATCCTACCATGTGGATTCATGGATTTTTTTTTCACATTCTGTCTCTCACAGTTGAAGTGTACCTCTGGTGCAAATTACTGACCTCTGTCATCATTTTAAGTGGGGGAACTTGCACAATCGGTGGCTGACTAAATACTTTTTTGCCCCACTGTAAGCTACACCCATTAAGGTAGCTAATGTGTCTTTTTAGACTACTGTTGCTGCTAACTGCACCAAACATTAAATTTAAACAAAACTATGGGTGTCTCACTCAAAGCCACTGGGGTTAACTTTTCTGACGAAAACCCTGCAGATGCATTTTTTTTACCCATGTATGAAAGGAAAGCACACTTTAGTCCTAATGTCACAAAGTTTGACATATCACAGCAGATGCCAAATAATTTGCTCTCGTAACCTTCTTAAGGATATCCCCCCCATGTCCCTAAAAACATCACACACTTCAGTCATACCCTATGAACGTCAACACTTCCCTGTTCGGTAAACCACTGTGGTTCACCACAGCATTTCAACATCAGCAGGTTTTCTCACAAAGTCAACAGATGATACGCATGACAGGAAGTTCTCTTTCATGCTAGTTTACCAATAGAAGACTGATAATGTCTTTAGTAGTCTTTCTACAAGTGCAGATATTAATACCAAAAAAGAAGGAACTACAGCGTAGTGAAGCAGGTACAGCATTTCTACTCTGAAAACCTTCAAAAACAAATTCTGACTTCTACCACGATCAGACCAGCCTTTACCTAATAAAATACTGATTTTGCAAAAAGTTAAAATTAATATATTTATATTGGGTTCACTAATTAAAGTATGCAGGGAGAAAACACAGCTTCAAATGTTAGGTTTTTCCTGCTCATCACCCTGTATAATGTTAGTGAGTGAGTATATCCCTAATGTGGTCATCTAAGGAAGTCATCCATGTCTACACAGCACAGAAGAACCACCCACCTGCTGTTCAAACATTCTGTTTGCCAAGTGCAACCAGTCAGAGGAGAGCTGGCTTGTCTATACATGTGTGCTTTTACACTAATGACACACATCAAATGAAAAAGCCGGTATCAAACCAGGGACCTCTTATGCTTATAGCATCGGCAACCAAACAAAATATATCCCAAGTACTCAGCTATTGGATCAACCATGATGTCTAGTTTTTAAAAAAGTTCAAGATGTGTACGGTCACCGCACACAAAGATTATCTGCATGTGCTTAAACACGAGATGTGATGGTTTTATAATTGCCAAAACTGCACTGGAAAGAGCACGGAAATGTCTAGAGTTACACACTGATTAAAACGCTGTAGTAGAGGCAGATCTTGTAAAAGCAGACATTTATTGCTTGTAGACACCTCATTGAACTTATGTCTACTGAGCTGTGGCAGCAGTTCCAAACTCCAGGGGCAGTGAGGTGGATCGATACAGACCATCTTTTGATAAATGGACCAATTGCCTGAATGACAGTAATCCCATCAGCTCCACCTTGCACATTAGGACAACATGGAAGCAGTGTATGTTCTGTGGGAGTAGCCCTGTGAAAAAACAGCATGCCCTCTTAATCTAGAGAGTGGATAATGATGAGGACAAAGCCACTTAATGAAAATCTAAACAAGGCAGGTGGGCTTCTTAAGCAGGATACCAGCACAAAGGGAAACCCTGAGCTGATACACTAATAGGTCAGCCCTGAAGGCGTAACCTGGATATGAGTAGACTATCACATGCAGTGTTTAATAGCCTGGAATCCAGGGGCAGTTCTGCTGCTGTGAGTCACGGATGTTAGCTGTAAAAGCAAATTTTTATCCTTCAAAACAAAGAAATACGAAACTGACTTCCAACTGCCTGAGGGGCCACACAGCACTGTGGCAGCTTGATTGTGTGTGCATGTCGTGCAAGTCCAGTTATGTTTACAGCACATATGAAGTGGCATCCTGGCACTGACTGGGCAGCACAGTTGATGAGGTTGGCTCCTCGGCATATGGCAGAGGAGCTGTTCATGCTACTGCAGAGATACCACTAATGAGCCTGGGTGCTCCAGGAGAAGGAGGCTGCTGGTTGCACAGAAACACATCCTAAGCCTAAGAACTCAGATTCCTTTAGCTTGTTTTGGAGATTCTTTTTTTTGTAGCGTTGGATGACAATAGACAGAAAGGATCATTTACTCTGTGAACTCCCGTGCCTTTGTGGAATGCTGAATGGCAACTTAAGTGGAAAAATGTTCCTGGAAATGATTCCAGGAACTTGGACACGGATTTACTTTCCTTACACATGTGTGCCACGACTGTGTGGGTGAGAGTGTTTTTTTGGTTTTTTTTTTAAAAAGTAAACCTTTACTTTCCTTGCATGACTCTTCACATGGGAAAAAGGATACAGCCTCAAAGCTCCAGTCTGAGTCCCAATGGCCAAGATTTTCTGTACGGGGTCAAAAGCCATTGAGGATGGTTGATATGGAAAGCCATGACGCACAGTCTGCAGGAAAAAAAGAAGAAGCAGAATTTACATTAGACCTTAAGCCAGCTATTCGATCATCTCCTACACAGTCAAGCTGACATTAAAAAATTATAGTCTCCAAGAAATGCAATCCATCAATGTGGAAAATGTGCTCTATTATCAAAAGAAATTAGATAAAGCATAAACATTATTGAAATATCTTTCTCATGGCTACTTGATATCTGTGAAGTATTAATTTTGGAAAACAACAGTAAAACTCAATATGACAACCTTGAGCTGGACTTTTATTGTCAGAATCTTGCAGTAGCTTATCCTCCAAATTATTATCATCATCAGGCATCTATAACCCAATTGTTTCAGGTTGGAAACGTTGCTCAATCATCCATAAGCTCTCTGCAGCCTGCAGCAGGATTACATAACAGGTAATGCCATGGCCCTGTAACCCGGGGACCTGACCTGTTCTGCTCCCAGCTGGAGTTGAAGCTAGTGGGCGAAACCTTTCCAGGCAGCCCTAACAGTCTGCATTACTAAACCGTGCATGATTAAAAAACAAGGCTGGGGAGCTCTTGTGTAGTGACCTGTGAGGTTATGATTTAAATGATCAGTTTTATTTATTTATTTTGCCAAAGCTGTTCACTCACATGCTCTTATGCACTGTACCCACAAAGATTATGCTCTGAAGCGATTGCTGCACTCGTGGATGGTGGTGGCTTAGTATAAAAATCCAAGTAGAAGTTTAGCTGAAGGTAAGAGAGGTGCTGGATATTTACTAGAGTTGGAGTTTTTGCAATAAAAAGTGTTCTTCTCACCACCTTTGAAACATAACATGGGAAATTTGCAGTGGATCCACTATTAATATGATAAACGAAATACAGGCTGCAGATGTTGCCCTCAACAACTCGCATTAAAACCCACGTTAGACCTGCACCTCCAGCATGAATAGAAGTGAGCAATGTCCAAATGGGGTGGGTGAGTGTTGTGTTGTAATTTTATGATATTTTACAGTGACGAATATACAGTTTCAAAGATTCAGAGCAATGCAAACAGCCCACTATGGACTACATCAAGGCAGGGCTGGCTAAAATAGACTAAAAAAATAATTACATATTAATAAATCACATTGTAGTGTTCAAGTGTGTGACTTTAAATCTGGTGTGCACATTCAAGTGGTTTCCATCCTAAATAATGAAATTAATATCCAGAAATAAAAGCAGTCAGCGTTTTTTCTTTTCTTTTTTTGTGTCACGCTGCTGTCATCTGACTGTCAGTTAGTTAATGTTAGCTGTTATTAACGGAAACCCACCTTGCAAAGCTGAAAATGCTCCGACTGTAAAGTCTCCTGGACAACATCGTTTTCCCTGGGAGTACCCGGCTGAGCAGTTGCGGAGGAGGAGGAAGAAGCCGCTGTCAAGCCGTCCAGCACCTTCCGAATATTAAACTTCTTCATTTTCCTCCGGTACACAAGCGACGGTTCAGAAAACAGATCAAGCGAGCTACCATAAATTGGATACAGAGAAGGGGGTAGCTGCTAGCTAGTTAGCCGAAATAACGCACAGTTAATACCTTTCTGTATACATCTCACATGTTACGGAGGGTGTTGCCAACGCATTCTCCAAAAGCGCCCGAGTCACGAACATTGGTTTAGAGAGTCCCTTCCGATAGCAGCCCTAATGCGCCATTTATATTGCCAGCTTTGGCGTTTAGTCGACCGGGATTAGTCGTTTCCGCCAGCTCCTTCCCCAACCAGGGCTCAGCGGGTAGCAAAGTGGCTACGGAAACGCAGTGAACTGCAGCGGGGATTGAGTCTGCGCTCTGCCGTCACCCGGATGCAGGACCGGTGTTACGGTGTATTCCGTGACCCGTCAGATTAGGTGACCTCGATCGGAATGTGAGCTGACAAAACGCTTTAAAACTGCTTGTGTTGTTGACACCTGCTGAGAAAAAAGAAGAGCATAAATAGGTTTACATTTATATACATATACATTATATACAGTATACATTTTGATAGCTATCATAGCAAATTAAACCAATTTAAAAGACATCAATATCCTTAAATTATTGTAAGTTTAATAGAGGGAGTGTTATTATTTCTAAACACCTATGTATGGTCATTTTGTGTGGCTCAAAATTCAATTAGAATTTTAAAAAATCCTCAAAAACAAAGTCCTTATTTTTGCCACAATCTTAACGTTTTTGGCGCTGTGAGCTCTTCAAACAATTTTTAGTTATAATTTTTTTTACATAGCAACACAAGGAATTCAGATAGCCCTGCGGCCCCCTGCTGGCTAAAGAGTCCCGAGCAGCCTCAATGCTCGAGGGCTGGGAGGGAAGCAAAACCTTACCCCAGTGACACCTGTCAATCCTTTGAAGAGTGGTTTAAAAGTGCAAACAAATAACGCAGGGAGACAATGTAGCCACAAGCATCTTTTACTAACGCCCTTTCCCACTGAAACGCGATATAAGGGTACTCCTCTGGTATTCTATTCCAATCTATTGTGCATTTCTGAAAAATAGGCCGTATTTCCTCATTCCTTATGTTCCCCAAGGAAGAAGATTGAGGTTATTTTGGCTCTGCAGAGAATTGGACACAAAGCTGGAAAACCTGGTTAAATATTCACCTTTGTGATATGTCATTCTTTTAATTAGTGTGAATGCTTGAAAAGCATTCACAGTATTGTTATTCGAATCTTTATTATTATTATTATATTTTATTCTGTATTCCGTACGTTTTTTGTACTCCTACTCCTTCAAAACCGTTCAACTTAGAAAAACCATTCAAACACCATTAGATTCCTCTTCTTTTGGACATGACTGCTTCTATTTTTCACATTTTTAACATTTATATTTTTAATTTTATTCAACTTTATTCAACAAAAATTTCCCAAAATTTCCCATGTATTTCAATGGGGAGACCCTTCAAATCCTCATTCAACTTACTCATTTTTAAACTCTTACTACTTCCACATACATTGACATAGAGCCACCATTCAAACTTTAAAACGAAGACAAGACATTCAACTATTCAACTTGTATTTATCTTTTCAATATCTATTATACTTTTTCTTCAGTTCCAGTTTAAGTTTCATGATGTTTTTTCACCCGTTTCAGAGTTTATAATGGGTGTGTATGGGACGGAATGTTGGGGCTAGAGTGAGAGAGCTCAACTGCTAGAGTGAGAGGAGCAAAAAAATTAATCTTAAAATCTTTTTTAAAACTGCTGCTGTGTCCACAGCGTTTGCTCTACAGCCACCATTTTACCCTCAAAACGTAGCCATGGCTGTCCTCTTTCATCCAATGTGTTTACTATTGTCCTAGGTGTTACGGTTCTTTCATAAATGTCACCAATGCACAGCCTCCTCCCTCCAACTCTTCCATAGACTCTAATGTTAAAATGGCTCAGAAGGTTCGTTTGAAAATCAGAAGAGCATGGTGTCTTTACACTGTCACCACGTCCATATAATAAACTCCACAGACATGAAAACTGAGAATTTGGTAGACTAGACATGGCTGTCGCTCACGGTGAAAGAATTTTGTCAGTACGACATGTACTTTTCATTTGGGAACGATTTGTTTCGGCCTGACTTTTCTGTTCATTTTAAGCAGCAAAAGTGAGGTGCATGTCTGTGTCGTGTGTATGGAGCCATTGGGTGCGGTCACTATAGCAACCAGGCTCACACCTGCCTGCTTAACGAGCTCTGCCTGCCACTCTGCCAAGATTCATCTTAAACACTTCTCTTTCAACTGCTGCTGTGTCCACAGTGTTAAAGCCATCATTTTACCCTCAAAACGTCGCCATCGTTGTTCTCTTTCCAACATCTTGTCTTTCAAAGCTCAGACATTTAAACTTTTTAAACTGTGTGGATCCAAGCGGAGGGATCACATTTTAGTCATTCAGTGATTCAAAGAATATGACCTTTTAATATTCTTTCAGATGTTTTCTGACTCTAAATGTTCTTTTCTCATTTCTTAGGTTTTTCTAATTTACATTTAAAACATTTTCAGCTTTTTTCCAACTTCTTCTGTGTAACCTTCAGCTTTTAGCAGTTCAGCACTTTTGTTTTCAGGTTAAATTTGGTTTTTTTTTTTTTTATCTCATTCAAGATTTTTAACTTAAATTCAGTAATTAATTCATTTCAGTGCATACATTCAGATTCAAGCATTCACACTGCAGTTTCTTCAGAAAATGCACTTTCTAGTTAGCCCATTAAAAAACTTCACATGTGGGCATATAGTTTTATTTTAACTGATTCCCCTTAAATGGTACACCTGACAAAGTCACGTGGAAGACACAAAAGACAGAAAATTGTCGAGTTAACCTAATGAGACATTAAAGCCATGGCCTTTGCAATACACGTTTAAAACGTCAGAGCCTTTTTGTAAATTCGATTTAAGACATTGTTTAGTTTTGGTTCTTTTCTGGATATAATTCTGTCAAAAGTTTTGTATTGACTTTCAATAATATATCACATACAACACTGTGCAAAAAGTCTTGAACTGCTCCTATATTTTGCTTCCAAGTAGATTTTCTTGTAAATTTTTACAATGGCTCAGACTTTCTGAATGTCAAAGCTTTGCTTTGCTGCTCTTTTGTCCATTTCCAGTCCAGTTCTTGTACCTGGCCATTTTAAGAGTGATGTAATTTTAGACTCATGAATCATTCAAGCACAAAAAAAGCATCTAACACAAGATTACAGTGTTTTGTCTACACATAATAGACTTCTAGACACTTTCTTACCTGTTGACTGTTGCAAAAACAAAACAAAACATATTGTATTCTCATTTCTTAAGCTTAATTTATTAACTCAGAATCTGTGCTGCTGTGCTTTGGATCATTGTCCTGTTACGTTACCTAATTTCAGAAAGCTTTGACTTTCAGATAGATGGTCTCACATTTGACTCCAAAATGCTTTAGTATGAAGAGGAGTTCACTCAGTGACCATCATCAGCCCACTACCACTGTGTCTGACAGTTGGTATGAGGTATTTGTACTAATATGCTGTATTATATTCAGTGTTTTAGTATTTTCTTTTTTTATACTGCTTCAGCGTTTGGTATTGATAAAGACCCCCACCTCCTACTACCATCCATACTACACCAAAGTACATGTTAATGTTACATGTTTTTCAGGTAGTCTCTGTCAAATCGTCTGTGTTTATAGAGGTAATTCCTATGAAACCTGTGAGAATGTGCTTCGCATGTATGTCTACTTCCGCATTTTGGCTTAATTCTTGTTAAATAAGGGCATGGTGTAATATGTCATGTGTTGTTTATCTGAGGTTGTACTTGCCCGACTTGAAGGACCACATTATTATTATTATTTATAATGTCCTGATATGTAAAACCTTAGAATAGAAAGAGTGAGTACTTTATTTTTATCATAACTGTATGAACTTCAATTATTCATACTGCTGGGGGAAAAAAAAGAATGCATACCAAATAATATAAATAAAAACATTTTCAGTGCAGTGTGTGGATTTGACAAACAGCACTGATCACAAAGTGGAAGAAGTTGAGTATTTGCATTTTATGCTACTTTAAATATTGCTTTTAAAAAAGTAGTAGCTTCATTGGCACTGGTTATTTTGCAGATCATTACATGCAAAACATCTGATTAGCTTATCCTTTAAACTGCTATAGATAACACTTAAATGCTGCAAATGTAGCTACAAATTTAAAAATCTGATTCAGAAACATGATGCGATGAAGCAAAACATGTTGGTGGTTGATGGGGGAAACAGGACTGGTTCAGTACTGCCAATAACCCTTTAGAATCAGAAACAGGATTTTCAGATAGAATCAGTTTGTCTCAGCGTTGATGTGGACAGCAACACAAAAGAAAAAAACACTTTGTGTCCCTTCTCAAAGTGTCTTTGCACAGGTATATTTTGTGCACTAGATGGCGTCATCTACTAGCAAAACTATTAACCTCTAAATCTGTATTTTGTTGTGTTTGAGAACTCGCCTTGTGACAAAAATTCAGAACCATGGACAGCAACGTAAGGATTCCAGACCGTCATCATGGAGCCCCTTGATGGTTCAGGACGTGGTCAGTTTAAAGGGTATAGGTTCATTCATATTCTAGCATTTCTTTTCTTGCATTTATGGACTCGGGCACATCAACATATATAATGTAGGTGCAGGAGAATGTCTGCAAATGTCTGCTATTCAAAGACTTTTTCCACACAGGACATCATAAAATGGGTCACACAAGGCACAATGGGAGACAGTGAGAGGCACAGCAAAGCTATGCACAAAGCTTTACGCTTTATAAACCTATTCACAAGTTTGACTAAATTGAAATTGTCATGCAGTCATGAATATATGAACGAAGCTGCCAGAGAAAATGCACGCCGGAGGGCTGATAAAACAGGGCAATATCAATAATGCACAAGTGATGGGATCTGTTGCTGGGAGTGAGGCTCCCATCCATTCAAACTGTCATATTTATAAACAAGTTAAGGAGCGGGGCTTTTGTGTCCGATGTGAAAAAGTATTGGGGCCAGCATCCCTCTTTGACTTCTGAATGTAGGTCTCCAGAAACTGGGACATACATCCAAAATTAGCAGTTGTGTGTTACTTCTTCCATCGTTTTGCCTCAGGCACAATTGCCACATGAGGTAAACTACCTTGCTGGCTTTTATGCTGCAACTCCTTTGATCAGCATGTAGAGATCAGATGAATTTGTGATGGGGTTTGGATAAATATGGGAAATTATGGTGCCCATTTTTAACTTTTTAATCTATTTTGGGGGAAATTTATGGTAATGCAAATTAATGCCACGTCAACAACTGCTGATATAACAAAACAT